AGAGAGACAGAAAGCAAGAAATCAACCCCCAGGGGGAATGGCCATGCCACAATCCCTTCTCCTCCATTCTCCTCTAGGGATCTTGGGCATGCACGTACATGCACCCAGCATGAGTTTAAGCCACCGGTCTGGGCCTTGTACCGCAGTCGACTACATGGGAGTCCAACAACACAGCCATTAGGCTAACTGCTGGTCCCGGTTATTTTAATTTTTAAGTAGAAAAAAATAGTATGGTACTGGCATATTTTGTTACAATGAATAATAGAGTCTTTCCTTGGTTATATCTCATCTCTTTTGCTTTCTTTATCTCTACATCCAGCTGATCCATTGTAACAATGTCCTATCCTAAAAAAACTCTGCCTTTTACTATTGTCATGACTTTTATTCTTGGGTTGATGCAGCTGCTTGCTGTGTCTGACTTTCACATAAAACTGATAAAATCTTCAATGAGATCTGATTACCCATGGATTAATAAAAATAGATACAAGTTACTGAGTGCTTAATAAGAAAAAGATGCTCTTGGACAACTTATGCACTTAATCTTCAAAACTTCAAAACAATCTGTAAATTATGATCATCCACAATTTTACAAGACAAGAAACAGTCTAGGATAGATTGAAAATCAAAATCCAACATTAAATCTGAAAGCCTCTGTGATTTGTCTTGTTTACTTCCTCAGCCTCCATCTTCTATTGCTCCCAAAGCACTAATTACCACATTACTTCATGACTGTTCCTACCTAAAATTTCTTTTTTCTTTATTTTCTTATGTTTTTGCATTTAATAATTATACATCTTTATAGCATACAAAATTATTTTCTCAACATGAATACACTATACAGTGCACCTTAATCCAGTAAAACATATTATCGTTCACATTATTCTCATCAGATAATTTTCCATTTTTGTATTCATTAAATGTTTTTCTCTTTCCTCCTTGATTCTCTCCCTCCTGCCTTCCCACCACCTAAAATTCTTTATTCTCATAATTTTCTAGCAGACTATACATCTTTCAGGGATGTCTGTCTTGACCCAACTAGTCTGTTTTAGGTCTCTCTATATTGCATTTACTTCATCTTAGCAGTTACCACTCTCTGAGTTCCTTAAAGAAAAATGGTTTATTTTTCATAGATGTGTCTTCAAGCGGTATGCAAAGAGTCTGACAACCATCAACAATCCTTTCCTGAACTATTTACCACATGTCAAGACTATGTGTCTAGCACTTTTATATATTCATTTAATTCTCACAATGATGTTGTAAAATAGTTATCACAATCCTCATTTTAACAATAGAGAAACTGACACTCAGAAGGAAGTAATTTGCCCAAGATTCTTAGTTGTTAAGTGGTAGAGTGATAGACTACGAATTTGCTTAATTTAAAAGCTGGTGTTGAAGTATTTTGGCCTTTTGCTCTCAATTTTCATTTCCCATTTTTGATAAACCCTACAATTCTTGTAAATATTATTGCTATCTTCCACTACTGTAAAAAGGTTAAACTCAAAAATCAAGGCTGGATAAATGAGATACAAATGCATTGAAGAGGAAGCATTTATTTAAGTTAGAGGTCATCTTTCTACATAGGGGGAAGGGAGAGGAAATACTAGGAGAGGGAGGACTATTGCATAGCTATTACACAAACCAAAATGTTGACTCCCATTAAAAAAAGGACACTCTGCAAAGCATTGTTCTCATGAAGAGTAGAAGACAAGACTGGGGTAGGAAAAGAGGCATCTCTTTGTGCTAAAAGAGCACCTTCCTGTGCTGATGGTTGCTATGGTGGTTGTGTCCAGACCTGTACTGTTTGCTCTCCCTACAAACCCAATCAATAAAAGTTTTATTTATCTCTTTTGTTCACTCATCACATTGCATCTTGACCATTATCTCCCTCAGATATCTCAGTCTTTTATATGCAGCAGTAGTTGCAAGCTCATATGCACCCTCATTCCCAAGTAGTAAGGGGGAGAATGATCAGCAGGCTTGCAGAATCAATTTGCGCTTCCTACCCTCCCCGGACCCTGGCAGAAGACAAGAAAGAATTTCGCTGGTGTTTATCACTACTGAGTCCAGCCCCAGTTCCCAGGTCAGAGGGGAGTTCTGCCCCCACGTTACTAGGCTCCAGCTCCTAGGAACCGGGAGCTCTTCTGCGCAACAACGGTCTTTTTTCCCCAGCCAATCCTGAGCCCACTGGCCACTGGCTCTTAGCAACAGCGATAGGCCTGTGTTGTAACTAAAAACCAAATTGAGACTGAAACTGTGATAAAGTGATTGACCTGTGTTACTTCTACCCAGTACCTGGGAGTTGAAGCAATGAGTTCCATTAAAGTTTATTATACCAGCGTGTCAGGCTCAAGGGAGGTGAGTGGGAAGAAAAGTGGGGATGGGAGTAGGAGGGACTACATAAAAGACATCCTGGTTGGGGACTTAAAGACATAATGTACTAAGACATTATTACTATCCCATTTCTGCCTTCCATTGTTTTCCTTTCTATTTTCTAGCTTTTCAGAGGTAGGAAGTGTGAAGAACAGAGAAAGTGGTTAATGCCTTCACTCATGCTGTGCTCTAATAACTCACTGATCTGAGCGTTTGGGCATCCAGAGCTCAGTTACCTTTAGGGCCCCCAATAATTTTTCAGCTGTTTCAAATGGGAGAAATAAAAAAATATTAAAAACTATTTAGGATGGTAGAGAAAAAATGCTAATGAGTGAATGATCAAAATCCTCAGAAAAGACTGGGCAAATACCCAAAAAGGACAAACTGTTGATTTCTAAGAAGCTGGCATATTTGCATTGATGAGTCATATTTTTTAGATTAAAGTTTAGATGGACTATTTTGACCAGTGCTGTCCAAGAGAAATAAAATGCAAGTAGCAGATGTAATTTGAATTTTATAGTAACCATTTCTTAAAAAGTAACAGGTGATATTAATTTTAAGATATTTTGTTTAACACAAAATATCTAAGATAATGTATAGTCAGTATAAACTAAAAATATTATATATTATTTTTCAAATTAAGTCGTCAAAATCCAGCATGTATTGTACACATATAACACACCTCATTTTGGACTAGCCACATTTCAAGGGCACAGTAATCACATGTGGCTAATGGCCATTATATTATACAGCTCAGTTATAAAAGGACCCTAATAAATCTAAGAACCTCATTCTGTAAAGAGTTTTAAGGAATCATGAAAACTGAAGAATTTGGAATTGATTATAAATGTTTGGTAATGATGAGGTTTGATTTCAGCCTAGAAAAGAGTGCTTCCTTTTTTTTATAAATCCTGGTTGGGCAGATTAGTGATTTCACCTGGATACTAAAACACACGAAGAAGCAGCTATTAAAAAGAAAACGATGGGGGCCAACAGGTGGCATGATGATTAAGGCACTGCACTCCCATATAGTTGACCACAATTCAAGTACTGGAATCTGTGGCTTGATTACCACATTAGGCACATGTGCGTGCATGCCCAAACTCTTGAGAGGAGAATCAGGAGGGGATTGTAGCATGGTCATCTCCTTAGGGGGTTGACTTTCCACTTTCCTTCTATTTGTCTCTCTCTGGTGAGTACACATACCCTATGACAAAACCGTAAATATATAAATAAAAATGAACAATAAATTTTTAAAAAGAAAACTATGGACTATTTCATTAGTTTTTTAAAATTTATTTTTAACATTGTGTTTTATGTTATTGGGGTATGGTACTAAGAGTTTATAAGAGGGAATAATTTGGAATAAGTAAAAATCATAATAGATACAGCAGAGGACTCACTTCATTATTAGTCCATGACTCTCAAACTGTAGCATAAAAATCACCTGGTGGGCTTATTGAAACAGATCCTTGGGATCCATCTCCAGAGAGTTCTTTTTTTTAGATCTTAGGTGGAATAATGCCAATGGCACCAGGCTAAGGATCACACACAGTGTAGCACTGACCAAGGCAACTGTTCCTCTCTTAGTGTGTTCCAATGAAAAGGTTTTGAGAAATGACTAAATCATGTTGCTTATGTCACATGCAACAGGCTTTTGCAATTTTTAAAGCTAATGAAACATAGAAAGCAGAAATACCGCATTTGGGAATTTCAGAAATTTCTTTTCTATCCATTGGAAATAGGCAGAGTTTCTTCAGCAAGGCTGGATTACATTTTCAAGTAATAAAACCAAAAGCCCACTGACATGCATTTTCACTGAAATCCCACTTGAGTAAGCTAGGATTTGTACTTGTCAAATTGCTTTCATCTATGTTTTCTTATTCTAGCATTGTAATTTTTATGTGACAAAATTATTCAGGATTGTCATGTGAAATGTAGAAATCTCAACCTTTACCTAAGATTTATGTTGGAATTATTTTTAAAAATTGTAGTTATATGTTCAAAACATAATCAACTATTACAATTTTATTTTAGTGCTAGTGTGTGTTCCGGGTGAAAGACAGAGAAATACAGCCTATTTGTATATACAAATCTAATTGTTCATATGGGAGGACATAGGAAAAATTAGCCACATTTCTCTACCTATATCGGTAAATTTTAATTCCTTGTTGTATTTATTTATTTTCTTCATCTTGTGGATTTTATCTCTATATTTAAGTATAATCTCTAATCGTGATGTGGAACTTGTAGTATGTTTCCCTCAAATGTAACAACCTGGTATTATGTCCATATCCTACACAGACCTTCCATAACAGCATAAATGAATGCAGTAATGAGTACAAAAGCCTGCCTCAGTTGTTAGCTGAATGTTCTTACCATGTTA